TTATGGTCAATGTTCTCTCTAAGTTGCGAGGCTGCACGCATGTGGAGCTGCTCCAATGTTCTGCACACAACGATTGATGTTGGCCTGCCAATCGTGGCATTGATTTCTCATTTCAGAAGTTGCTGCCATGCATGGTAAGAAATTAGAGGGAATGTTAGTTGTAGTCTGACATGTTTTATACAATTCTGGCAAAACCCTACTGCCCTGATATGCTACACCTTAGCTAATAAAGGAAAATATCTTCAATGCCTTCTTAACCACCTTATCTACCTGTACTGCAACTTCAGGCATCTATATAATGGTAAGCTCCTTCTTGAACAGCTTCTGGCCATTTGATGTAAGAACACCCACATGACTGTTAGATCTGGAGTTCCAGGACGTTGACCTACCAATGACAAATAAATGGTCATACAGCTCCAAGTCAGAAGCCTGGGTAACTTGGAGGGAGATGTGAACATGATTGTGTTCCTATGCATTTGTTACCATTGCTCTGCTAGAGTCACAAGTTTAGAAGCTGTTGTCAAGGAGCTTTGGTTGGGCGTCTTACATATGATCTTCATTGTTACCCCTAGGTGATGTTCAATATTTAAAATGGCAGATAGGTGTCATTCTAGTGGGCTGCTTTGTCTTGCCTGGTATTGAGTTTCTTAAATGTTGCTGGAACTGTACTCATCCAGGCAAGTGAAGAGCATACCAACACACTACTGTCTTGTATTTGTAGATCTTTGGGGAAACAAGGGTTAATTTGCCCACCAGAGAATATCTGGCCTCAGAGTTTCAGGTCTGGTTAAGTTTCTGGCCGAAGGTAACTTCAAGGATATTGAAGGCAAAGGATTCAGTGATAGCAATACCACTGAAACTCAAAGGGAGCTTATTAGATTGTCTTTTGTTGGGACATAGTCATTGCCACTTATGTGGTCAAATGCCTGAATGTTGTTCAGATCTTTCTGCACACATATGGACTGCTTCAGTATCTAACAATTGCAAATAGTACTGAGCACTTTGCAATTATTGGCTGACATTCCATTTCAAACCTTATGATGGAAGGAAGGCAACTGATGAAACAGTTGAAGGTGGCTGGGCATTAGAAACTACAATGATAAACTCCTGCTGTAATGTTCTAGGACTGAGATGATAGCCCTCCTACAATCACATCCATTTTCCTTTGTGTTGGATATGATTGTAACCAGTGGAGAGCTTTCCTCTTGAATCTCATTGGCTTTAGTTTTGCTGGAGGTCTTAATGTCACAATATGATCTCAAATCATTAGCACATACTGGAAAATATCTGATTGCATTTACTGAAAGATGTATGAATGCACCACCAAGACAGGATAAACGAACCACCCATAGCATAGCATCTAGGACACATTCGCATGCTGATAGGTAAAAAATGTGGAGTAAAGAAACAGATCTTCACTGTGGATCCATTTCAATGTTAACAGATACGATGAACAACAAGTCCATTCAAAGGATGCTGGCTTACAAAATAGCTGCTAAAACACAAAATTCAGAATTAGATTGGAAAAAGATGTCAGTGATCCGCGTAGATTAGGATCCTGTTTACATCCAGTACATACATACACACACAGGTATGTAAATGGATCACATTCAGAATGTTGAAGAAATAAGTTCGTTATATGTTTATGAAGTAGGTAGCACATGTGGAAATTGTTCTTTGATTAATCACATCGTAAACATAACACAGTCCAAAGATGTTTCAGAGATTCAGACATTTCTGAAGGAGGGTCTACGCCCAAAACGTCAGCCTTCCTGCTCCTCTGATGCTGCTTGGCCTGCTGTGTTCATCCAGCTCTACACCTTGTTATCACAGTCCAAAGATGTGCAGGTTAGGTGGATTGGCCATATTAAATTGCCCAAAGTGCCCAGGGGTGTGTAGGTTAGGTGGATTAGCCATGGGAAATACAGGATTACAGGTAATAAGGTTGTGGCAGATGGGTCTGGGTGGAATGTACATCGGAGGGTCAATTTTGGACTCAATGGGCCAAATGGCCTGCTTCCGCACTGTAGGGAATCTACGTTTCCATGACATCCAGCCACAAGAGGGCAGTTAAGAATCCATTACATTGCTGTGGGGCTGTACTCACATCCAGAGCCAGACCAGGTGAGGATGACAAATTCCTTCTGTAAAAGACATTAGTGAACCAGGAAGGCTTTTACAACAATCAGCAATTGCCACGATTAGACCAGCTTTTAATTCCAGATTTTCATTGATATAAATTTCCCTATTTGCCATGTTGGGATATGAACCCTTGTCCCAGAGTATTAGCCTGCATTTCTGAATTATTAGTTCAGAATATTGTGGCCTCCTCACTCAAACTGACCGAATCGCACCACAGGCAAAAATAGCACATTCTCTTTGTTATAATTCCACTGCTGTCCAGGCTACCTATAACATGGAGTGGAAACAGTATGCTCTTTTTTGTACAAAATCAAATGAAATCTACAGGAGATCCCACAGATGACACTTTGAATAAAACTGCCTCACATCCTGCAAGGTAACCATAAAAATAATTTTGAGCTAAGAGCATTGAGAAATGTTAATGTGGTGGGCTGCTACATTAATGCAAATTCTGCATCGAAGATGGTGCAAAGATCAGTGAGTGAGATTTTCTCCAAAGTGGAGTTGCACATTGACTGTCTGTAATACACCAGGCTGTCTTATTCCTGGTACTGTCCACCCCAATCTGCTTCCTACCAACTGAAAAGAATGCCATTATATGTTCCTGTTCCTATTTTTTCTTGAAATGCATTAAGGATACTGAGGTAATTAAGCAAACAGTGTTATAAATATAAATGCAACTGCTGATTTTGAAATCATAGTTTCATCACCAAGATTCACTAAATTACACAGCACAGAAAGGAGGCCATTCAGTCCATCAGCTCTTTGGTAGATTAGCTCCTACTCCCTATAACCCTGTGATTTTCTAAGCTCCATATATTTATTCAGTGGCAGCCCTTGGCATCAAGGCCACATTTGAATAAGTGTGGCATCAAGGAGTCCCAGCAAAACTGGAATCAGTGGGAATCGGGGCAAACTCTCTGCTAGTTGGAGTCATACCTGGTAAATAGGAAGATGGCTGTCATTTTTGGAGACCAGGTATCCTACTTCCAGGAAAAAGTTCCTCAGGGTAGTGTCATAGGTCCAACCCTCTTCAGCTGCTTCATCAATGACCTTCTCTCCATCATTAAATCAGAGGTGGAGATGTTACTGATGATTGCACAATGTTCAGCATTATTTGTAACTCCTTAGATACCAAGGCAGTCCATGTTCACATACAATGAGATCTGGACAATATCCAAGCTTTGGCTGCTAAGTGGCAAGTAAAATTCACACCAGATAAATCTGGGCAATGAGCATCACCAATAAGAGACAACCTAACCACCAACCCTTGACATGCAATGATGCTACTGTCACTAAATCCTCCATTATCAACATCGTGAGGGTTACCATTGACTAGAAACTCACTGGACTCGCCATATAAATAGTGGCTACAAGAGCAGGCTACAAGCTGGGAATACTGAGGCGAGTAACTTACCTCTTGACTCCTCAAAGCCTGTCCACCATCGACAAGGCACAAGTCAGGAGTGTGATGGAATACTCCCCACTTGCCTGGATGGGTACAGCCCCAACAACACTCAAGAAGCTTGACACCATCCAGGACAAAGCAGTCCGCTTGATTGGAACCACATCCACAAACATCCACTCCCTCCACCACTGACGCTCAGTAGCAGCAGTGTGTACTATCTACAAGATGCACTGCAGAAATTCACCAAAGATCCTCAGACAGCACCTTCCAAATCCACGACCACTCCCATCTAGAAGGACAAGGGCAGCAGATATATGGGAACACCACCACCTGCCAGTTTCCTTCCAAGCCATTCACCATCCTGACTTGGAAATATATCGCTGTTCCTTCAGTGTGACTGGGTCACAATCCTGGAATTCCCTCCGTAAGGGCCTACCTACAGTACATGGACTGTAGCGGTTCAAGAAGGGCAAGTAGAGACAGGCAATAAACGCTGACCCAGCCAGTGACACGCACATCCCAGGATAGAATTTTAAAAGTCCCCTTTTGACAGTCAGTATTGATTCTACTCCCATCTTTTTTTTTTAACCAGAACTGAAACGTTTTGGTTTGAAAAAATGTTGGAACAATGTCCACATTTCCTGGCCGGGTTGTTTGTCTGCAGTCGGTGTGCTCTGGTCAATGTGTTCAGCTGGGCCACAAAGTCAGGGATGGTTCTATTCAGTCTCAGGGATCAATGATCAGCTCCCAGCTCCCGCTACGTTGCATCTGACAGATTTGGAGAGCCCTCCCCGCCCAGCTCCCAGGCTTTACTGTTTCAATAAAAGCACGGAGACTTGTAATTCTTCTCGTTAGCTCAGCTTTACAAACGCCGTGTTTTGGGATGTAACTGTCCCACTGCCGGCTCGGTTTGGGGACCGACAGCAGAGAATCACATCTCTCCACCCAGCCACCGCTCTACAGCTGCCGGGGAGTCTCCAAAACATGCTGCAAAACACATAAGCAGCTCAGTCAATCCTGCTACTATTCCGCATTAATCAAGAATTAACATCTCTTCCGCCGAGTTTCCTCTCGTTAATGCAGGAACTCCTGGAGTTAAAAACAGTTCTCTGCAGCGTGATCATGGAGGGGAGGATTCTATTTAAAAAGTGATCGGAAATCCACCAGCTTTCTGATGGAGCAGCTGTCAATCCCCAGATGAAAACAAGTTTTGTCAAATGTATCCATCATCAGCACACATCAGCTTCCTTTGTCTGAATCCAGCGCTAGACTGGGAAGCTCTCTGAAATACTTACTGATGGTCTGGTGAACACTGTAGAGAGACAAAATGCACTCCAGCAGTACTTTGAGCATCTGATGATCCTCATAGCCTGAATTGCGGCTGGTTGTGAACAAATTGAAGCAAGTCACATTCATTTCCCCCCCAGGTCAATCCAGGACCATCGGGAACATGGAGGGGATATTCCCTGAGACAGTGAGCAACTTGTCCTCTGTTGTAAATTCTTCATCTTCAGTCTCAGAGCCAGGGAATGAAGCATTGATCACATTACTACTCGGCACCATTCTGACCATCATGTGCCTAATGGGGATTATAGGCAATGTCTACATCCTGGTGTTGATGACTCTGTCCATGAGGTTTACTGGCTCCATGTATGTGTATATTGTGAATTTGGCCTTTGCTGATCTCCTTTACCTCTCCACCATCCCCTTTGTAGTGTGCACCTACTTCGTGAAGGACTGGTACTTTGGAGAGGTTGGCTGTAGGATCCTTTTCAGCCTTGACTTTCTGACCATGCAGGCTAGCATCTTCATCCTGACTATTATGAGTACTGAGAGATACCTGGCAGTGGTCAAGCCCTTGGATACATTTCGGAAAAATCATGCTTCCAGAAGAATCATTACTTGTGCTGTATGGTTCATTTCCTTTCTCCTTGCCCTTCCTACCATGATAATGATTGATCTCCGCGAATTTAACCAGAAAGGAACAATAAAACGTATTTGTCACTCAACATGGACACCATATGTATACAAGGTCTATCTGACTGTACTTTTCCACACCTGTATATTGGGTCCAGGGATACTCATTGGATTCTTGTACTCAAAGTTGGCTCGCACTTACTGGTTATCACAGACCACAACTTTCAACATCAAAGGAATGAAGAAGTCACCCAAACAGAAGATTCTGTATATGATCTTGGCTACTGTCCTTGCCTACTGTGTGTGTTTCTTGCCTTTTTGGGTATGGCAGTTGTTCAGGCTGTATTTCGGTGAAACTGTAAGTCTGTCTCCCAAAGCCACTGCCTACATTAACTTTTTTGTGACTTGCTTGGCATATGGCAACAGTTGCATCAACCCTTTCCTCTATACCTTACTGACAAAAAGCTACAAAGAGTACGTGAGAAACCAACAGAGGAACTCCCTCGACTTCTCACAAAGGAAACACAAAGGAAATTCATCCCAAAGATCGGTGTCTACAGGCAGTCAGCAGTGCACTGAGACTGTATCATGTAATTAAAGAGAGCTGGAGAGGAGGCTTGTATGGATTAACGTGAGTATCAACATACGCGTGGATGTTGTTGTTAATTATTTTTCATTTTCCCATTTCAAGTAGGTTATTTCCACTAATAGATCATCTCAACATACCGTGGGTGATCTTATCTCACTGCTCATCATATCATGCGTACTCATGGGTGATATTATCGTGCTCCACGTCAAATAAAGTAATTGAAATAACGTGTTTGGTTTGGTTGATTTTCCTAACTAGTTTGTTTAAATAGAAGGAGGGCTTGGGAAGATAATCTTTTCCTTAAAGTGCAGACTAATTTTTACAGTAAAAGTATATGACTTAACAAAATCTGGTTTGGCTTGACCAGTAGCTCTTGCTAAGTGTTTCTTTTTTAATTAAATCAATTTGAAATAGGTGAGGACAAGAACCGTATGCTTTTTCTGTTATTTCTGAGAGAAAGGCATCTTGTAACAGATACAAGAATTATTTAAAGTATTCCTGCACTTCCAAAGGATGAGAGATTAAAATGAGTAAACCATCTCATCTGTCAATGATTAAGAACATGGGAGATCACCAGTGTCTTCTCCAGCATTCATCCCTAAAAATTAGCTGACTTATTATCACATTGCTATTTAGGGTAAGCTGCTATGCCCATAAAACACCATTTCCCACATTATAGAAGTGGCAAGACCTCAGATACCACTTTGATTGTGGTATACAAATGCAGGCCTTCCATCTTTGAAACAATTGTTTTCTTGATTGATTAATGTATACAATTTATGATTTGTACAATTAAATAATCGCACAATTAAAAACTTGCTAAGAGAGGCAGACGGCAGTGCAAGAGAAATATTTTACATCCTGTGCTTTGAGGCTAATTGTAGCTAAATTCACACAAGTTGTAGCAAAAATCGTTCAGTGTTCTGACCCTTCTGGCTTCAGGTTAATTAAAGCAAATGTTAATCTGCAAAAGAAAATGATCCCAAATTAATTACAAATTAGTTTGAACGTTAGTCTGGCTTGCAGACATTTGTCACAAATATGTCAGAATACTTGCATTTGACTTACAATCCATCAGAGATTTCATCAACTTGTGAGAGGCTGCTATAGCTGCTGCTTTCATCAGATTTGATTAAAATTGGCAACAAAACCCAGGGAATCTTTGATTTATTCAACAAGTTGGTCTGAATGGTGAAAGCAGATTATTTGTAAACGGAATTGTCAGTGAATGGGAAAGAACAGACGTGCGCAGGAAAATTTCTTTCAAGAATCCAGCACAGGCAGGATTAGTGACTTCTGCGCTGTAAGATTCTAAAGATACACTTTTTATACTCTAAAATATGACTGATATTTTGATTGGGTACCTAAATGTTTCCATTTCATAGAAATAATAGTATTTAAATTTCTACAGTTAAAACTGCTTCAAAAACTAATTCTGCTCAAAAGTATTTGCCCCACCCCTCCCCAATGCCAACAATATCTCCTCAGAAATAAAAAAAATCAGTGATATTGAGGCTGAACTAAACATTTTTTTTTAAAAAATGAGTCAAATGTACTCCAGCGTGTGAATTAAATATTGACAGTTTATTTGGCAGCAATTGTACGGGACCTGCTAGTCATACTAGCACTTTCATTTTTTTACATCAGGCTGTGTCCCATGTTGTATAATCTATATTTCAGTATATCAATAATTTGCTTCCTATCTGATTCCTTGGCATGTTTGCAGCTTTTATACCCTTGATATATGTTCCAATGTACACAGGGGTGCACCTACATTTAAACAAGGAGTATAAAACTAGAGGTGGTTTTATCACAATTATTTTGACAGCAAAGCAATAATAATCTTGCTACATTCCAGGCATCAGCTTGGATCTCAGTGCCATTGATAGAGCATTGCAAGATCAAGTTAGTGTGCAGAAGCCCACTGCATGCTCATACAACCCTAGTCAATCAAACTGGTACTTTATTGTATGGAATTTACTGCACAGAAACAAGCCACTCGACCCAGTTGGTCTGTGCTGGCATTTGTATTCAAGTCAAGTCCACATGCTCTACTGTAGGCGCTGCAACATTAACACGCCACTCATTCACAGTTTTGTCTGGGTAATATCCAAAGCATGGTAAATCATTTGCTTTAAGCCACATTATGACTCTCAAGTTTATTGAGGCTATTCAACATATAAACAAGGATAGGCAATTTAGCTGCTCAAGCCTGATGTGTCATACGCTAAGATCATCTGTAACCTGTATGATCTAATACCAGATGCCCACATTTGTCTCATATCCCTGAATATTGCTGTTAACAAAATAAATCTATTAACCTCACAATAAAAATGAACAATTCATTTAGCTTCAGACTGCAATTTACAGAAATGCAATTTCAAACCTCTAGCATCCTTCTTGCTCAAAGGTTTTTCCTCACTTTAGTCCAGAAAAAAACCAGCCTCTAACATTTCGGATAGGTCTCCAGTTCAGGACTCCTGACAAACAGAACTCATTTCTTTCTGTCACTTTCCCTTAATGTTTCAAAATCTTCAATTAAACACACCATAAACCTTAAATTCCAGGAATTACAACCCGAAGGTTGTATAACCTTTCCTGATAATATAACACTTGGGACAAGGAATCATTCTAGTAAATCTATTCTGCACTCTCTACAGGGTCAGATTTTCCTTCCTAATCAGACTGAATACAGTATTGGATTGGAGTTGTGTAGATTTAAAGGTCAGCATTCATTCGCTGTTTTGCTTATTTTCAGTACCTGTCAATCTCTACATGGACTTCCAAGTCTCCACTGTTTTTTTCTATTCACAGTGTAAAAGGTAGCCTGTTCTGTCCTTTTCAGGTCCAAACTAAATGACCTCACACTTGGCAACTTTGAAATCTGCCTGCCAGACTTTTGCCCATTTACTTAATCTATGAATATCTCTTTGTAATTTTACACTTTCATGGTGGTGTCACTGGCAAATTTGGATATATGGCTTTTTATTCTCTCATCCAAGTCATCACAAAGTACAGGGAAAAGCTGAAATCTGAACAATAGATTATTGGGTGACACTACCTGTACTAGTCACATTATGCTAATTAAAATACCTGCCTGTTCTATTTCATCAGTCTTCTTCCACTCAGCCCATTTCCTAGCCAGGTTAATAATGTGCCTTGAATTCCACGGGTCTCAATTTTAGCAGACAATTACTCACAAGTGACTTTGTCAAACGTTTTATAGAAGTCCATATCAATAATACCCATAGAATTTTCACTGTCTCTTACTTTGGTCACATCCTCAGAAACTGAAGATGCCACTCAAACTGGTTTCTCGTTTACACTGAATGTGGCACAACTTCAGTGTGAAGCAGTACTTTGTAAAACTTAATGGTATTTTGAGTAGAAGGGAACGTCCTGCCCCTGCCAGTACCCCTGGCCCTGGTCCTGCCAATATTGTAAAATGTTGCTGCGTGAAGGGCATTCCTTTGTCTTCGTAGGAAACAGGTGTCCATGATCTCAGTGCAACTGGAAAATAAGTTCCAATAATCTTTCAGGTTTCCATCACATTCTCTGTGGACCAATATCTGCAGCTCCAACTTTAGCCATACAGAATTTACTTATATTGGGCCTCCCGCTAATTCAGATGATTTCAAAACAATTTACAGCAATTTCTGAAATGTACTCACTGCTAGAATGCAGATGGGAGATGGTGGCATATGGGAATGTCATTAAATTGCCAAACCAGAAGCCCAAGCTAACTCTCTGGGGACATGGGTTCAAGTCTCAACGTGACAATCAGTGGAATTTTTAATTGATAATAATTCTGGAAGCATTAATTCCAGGAATTAATTATTAATTAATAATACTGAAATTGAAAAATTAGTCTCAGTATTGGAGATCATAAAACTATCATTGATTGCCATAAAAGCCCATCTGAGTCATTTTTTTTTAATTCACTCATGGAATGTGGGTGGCCAGCATTTTTATTATCACCTGTCCCCAGCTGCCCTTGAACTGAGTGGCTTGCTAGGCAATTTCAGAGGACAATTGTAAATCAGCCACATTGCTGTGGGTTTGGAGTCACATGTAGGCCAGACCAGGTGAGGATGACAGATTTCCTTTCTTGAAGGACATTAATGAACAGTTTTCCTGACAATCGGCAATGGTTTCATGGTCATCAGCAGATTCTTAATTCCAGATTTTTTTTTTGTTTAATTGAAATTCCACGATATGCTTTGGCAGGGTTCAAACCCAGCTCCCCAGAACATTGGATATGTTTCTGCATTAATAGGCTAGCGATAATACCACTAGGCCATCACTTTCCCTAATGCCCTCTAGGTAATTTAGTATGAAAAAACAAATTAGCAGCAGGTGTAGGCCATTCAGCCCCTCCATTCTGCCCTGGCTGATCGGATTTCTCTATTTTTCTGCCTATCCACCAACACCCTTTGCCTCCCTTGTTAGTCAAAAATTGATTTGTCTCTGCCTTAAAAATATTCAAGGATCCAGCCCCCAGTGCCCTCTGAGAAAAGAGTTCAACACACACACAACCTCTGGGAGAAAAAATATTTCTTCATCACTGTCTTAAATGGGAGAACTTTTAGTTTTAAACTGTGTCTCTCAGTTCAAGTCTACCCCACAAGAGGAAACAATGACTTAGCATCTGCCTTGTCAAGCCCCTTCAGGACCATGTATCTCAAACCTGTTGTCCTTACTCAGTCTGGCCTACAAATTACTCCAGACCCATTCAGTTTAAGGGTAACACATGCAGGAGTTGCCTGTGATGCCTATATCCTGTGAAAGACTAATGAGAAAGAAAGACAGTGGGTTGATTCCAGCAACACTCCACAAACAATACTGTGTGAATGATGGGATAATCTGGTATTTGTGATGCTGGTTGGCTTGGACAGTAATTATAAACTTGTCTGCGTTTTGTGAAATAGTGCACCTGAGAAAATCAAAGGAGCCTGTGTTTAAAGATATCTTTGGAAAAAAATCTCCCCTTCTGAAATGTCAGCCAAAAC